GTGTGTGTGTGTGTGTGTGTGTGTGTGTGTGTGTGTGTGTGTGTGTGTGTGTGTGTGTGTGTGTGTTTCCCAGGTATAAAACAGGACAAATGAGTCTGACAGAGACTCAGGACCCACGCGATTGATTGTTACACCCACGGAGATTCAGGACCTCGTGGAGATTTCCTGTTTGAGAAAGTTAAGACACAGAGACCTCATTTGGCTTAAGGTTGTGGATAAAATGGGAAATTCTTTTGGGGCGCTGGACCCAGCTTCCAGCCGAAGCCAAAGACTGGGGCAATGGCCGGCCCGAGTACATACCCGATAGAAATGCGAGGTCCTGGGCCTCGGGACTCCGGACTCGGGTAAGTGCTGGCCCCCAGTACATACCCGATAGAATTGCGAGGTTCCGGGGGTCGGGTGGAATTCCATTTCCCAATTAACTACTAAGGTTGCCATTTTCAAATCTTTCCCGCCCGGAAAAAAAAAAGAAACAAAAAGGCCATGTCACCGTTACATATCATAGGTCACTGACGAAAACCGGGCAAAAGAAACTTCAGATGGAAAGTGACTGCTTCCCCCTCCCCCCCTTTCCTTAAACCGCCAGTACATAGCCCCAGTCTTGCAGAAAAGCTGTTCGTCGCCTACTCCAAAAATTTCGCCGCTCGGGCCTCTGCCAGACCACAGTGGCCGGTGGCGCCTGTCAAAAAAGGAAAAAAACTTCAAAAAAGTGTTCCACGGGCGGTTCGGAAAAGCTTGGCGCGCCGTGCGGCACCTCCAGCCACGGGTGAACTGGTGGTTTAACAGCCCTCCCAATAATTAACACCAAGAGGGAAATCTACTCCAACCGTCAAAGCCCTTGTTGGGCAATCATTCACAGAGAGGGTACGTACTGCAGCTCCAACCGATAGACCTGAAGAGGAGGGAGGGGGGGGGGGCGAGGGGAGGGAAGGGTGAACACTTCTCCTTATGGGAGGGACCAGATGGACCTACCATCTACTATCAGGACAGCAAGATGTCCGATGAAGTGTGTGAATAAGAAGTGTACCGACGGGCCTAGCTCGGTTGGTACACCCCTGAACTGAACTGTTGAAATACAGACCTGAGTTCGAGTCCAGATACCCTTCAGAGGAAAAGAAGAAGGGAACAAAAAACAAAAAGGGGAGATCCGTTCAAGAAGGAAAAAGACTCACTTCTTCTCGTTCGCTTCTTGTAAAGGATTCGATATCCACATTCTCTGCACTGGATGACGTCACCAGGCTTCAGCTGATTATCTGCACCACAATCTGAATGGGAAAAAAAAAAGAAAAAAAGAAAAAAAAAAGAAAAAAAGAAAAAAAAAAGACGAATCAGCAACGGATCTGGCAAACTGGCAGTCAGAGGGCATACTGAGAGTAGGACTGTGGGTCTGGTCCGTGGCCTCTACAACGTCCTGGGCTTAAAAAAAAAAAACAGACAATCCCATAACTCGAGCCAAAATGAGCATCCGAAGCAACCGGCGCGTATAACATCTGTTGTGAACGCTATACTTAATCCAGAAAAATGAAGAGTCGACACGAGCGAACGAGTGGCGAAAGCGAGCAAGCCCACACGAGCGAGAGATGGTTAATGGAAGGCCCAAAATTCGGGGGTTTCCGCCGCATCACCACAAGCAATGCCGTCAAAAATTTCGCGCACAAACAATGCAGGCTCATAATAATACAAACATCAAAAAACCAAACAGGCAAAAGAAAACAAAGAAAATAAACTCAAAAAGAGTCAAAACTTCAAAAGCAATATAAAACCCTGTTTGGAGTAGCTCTCCGAGTTCGCCAATTTTTTCTCCAAATTCGGTGTTTTTGCCAACTTTTCCGTTTATGGTCCAAATACGTTGAAACTGAATACTGATATACCCTAAAGCAAGGCTGGGACGGCAACCGGACAGTTCAGCTAGCCCCGTTCAACGGGGGCGGGACCGGCCCGGGGGGGG